CCACACTGCCTCCTGACCTCTCAAACTCCTCCTTAGGAGAAGAGTACCCAGAACCCTGAGAGTGGGAAACAGACTCTCTGGGTAAATTACAAAGTGGTTGCAGGTGCTGAGGGAGTGGGCCGTGGTGGGACTCCCTGGCTCTGCTGTTACACAGGTGTATATCGGAAACCCACTTGGACTGTCCCCTTTGCCCACCTTCACCTACTGGGGAAGGGAGGGGGCAGGAATTAGCATTTGACATCAGAGAAGCACCTCCTGGGTGCTAGCGCTGGGTTGGACATTTATAAGATATTTGGCCCAGGGTAGGTCAGATAATTTCAGAGTTCTTTGGTATTAGAACCAGCTGGATTTGCAGGACTAGTGCCCTGAGGGTGGCAGCCTCTAAAGAGAGGATGTCCAGAGCTCTGCCCTTAGATCTTTCTTGCTCAATACTGTCATTAGAGACCGCCTACCGTCCACTGCCCAACATGAGTTTCTAGAGAGGGCCATGCAGGGTGGCGCTAGCAAACAATGCAGAAGATGGGATCCAGGTGGCAGTCTACCTAACCAATGATGATGAGTTTGTGTCAGTCAATGTTCTTGAAACAGTTGTTGAGGCCCTACTGTGTGCCAGGCCCTAGGGAACCACAGGGAAAAGGAGGGGTCGCTGCATCTGATACAAGGTTGGGGGTTGAGTGGCCCCGCAGGAACCAATGCCAGGTTCAGAGGCCGCCCTGCCCCCAGGATGGACTGATTCACCCAGGAGTAGGGGGTGGGGAGAAGGGCATCCTAGGGAAGGTCTTATCTGAGCTAAGCTTTGAAAGGCAAATCAGAATAATTTCAGAATAATCAGAAAGGCAGGAAGCCCAATAACCACAGATTTAGTGTGAAAATCAAATGAGACCATAGAGGGGGAAAGTATCTTGTGGCCTGATTTAAAAAAAAAAAGACAATTTTGAGGGCCTGTTATGCTTCCACAGGCGAGGAAACTGAAGCTCAGAGAGAGGGCGTGACTTGCCCAAGGTGAGCCAACGATTTAGAGGCAAACACAAGGCTTGAAACCAGACCTTCTGATCCCAGCACTGGGTTCTGGCTCCTCTACTCTGACTTCTCCAGAAAGTGAATTCAACAGTAAAACTGCTTTTCTTAGTATCTTAGTTCACAAATGGTAATACAGAGTAGGGGTCTTTTACCCTATCATGTGAATTAGAGGTCAGCATGCTTTGCAAAGGGACAGCAAAGAATAGGGCAGTGAGGGAAATGGAGAGGGAGGTTGGGGATGAAAAGGGACAATTTGGGATGTAAGGTTTGGGTTGAGGAGGATTATTAAAGTACCCAGACAATGAGGGACAAGAAGGTTTGTCTGGAACTGAAGAGAGAGCTCAGAAAAGAGAGAAGAGTGGGCCAAACACAAACTTTACCGGATTATCAAAGGGCTCAGGTGAGAAGCCGCCTGGGATGAGGTTGGAGAGACCCCTCTCCTTGGCCCTCTCTGAGCCTCTGACACATCTGAGCCCTGCCCTGGGGGCTGACAGGACCACCATCTCCATTTTCCTTCCTTGTGCGGAAGGGAAGAATAAAAGAGACTCTCAGACAATCATTCAAGATTCCGGGCCACCCTTACTCCCATCCTGAATGGCGTGTAAGGAGCCTTGGTGGATTTCTTTCACCTGTCTGCTAGAAGCCACAAGCTGGCAGTGGGTTCTTGTTCATTGTGTGAAAATGCCAAGCCTAGAAACTCATCCCCAAGTTAAATGGACTCTAAGGATAAGACACAGTTGATGACAATAGCAGCTGCCAGTCTAGGCAGGCCCAAAAGCTACAGTGGGCTCTTTACACTAAAATCTCATCTCATCCTCACAGCTGCTGTCACAGGACATGCCTAGATCCCACTTTACCGAACTGGAGAAACTGAGGCTCAGAGATATTTGGTGGTTTGCCTGAGGATACCTGGTACAACAGTCCAGAGCCTTGGACCTTCCCACTGCTCTCCTCTGCCTCTATCACACCCAATGCAAAGTACGCATACATACAGGTGCCAAAGGGAACTACTGCTTCTCCAAGATAAATCCGTGCTGCCACCCGGCTCTGCTAGCTTTTTCACCAAAAGCAAAAGTTCAGGCCTTTCTTTTTTTAACTGAGTGGCCTAATCTCATCTAAAAGCGTAAATTCAATGAGACCATTTGAACCGTGGTAACAGCTCTGTCACCCCCATTATTGCCTGTTACAAGGGTGCTTGGGGACCCCAGTCTGGGGACACCTAGCAAAGTCAGCCTATCCAGTCACTGGAGTCCCACCAGGTGTTCAGACACTTGGGGATCTCCTCTCCACTCAGTCAGTCTTTGGTGCTTTATTGAGCACCTATTTATGCCAGGCACCAGGACGTCCAGGACTGGGCGTGAGGCTGCATTCCTTTGTAATCTGGAGGCGCCAGTTCATCAGGTCAGGTTCTCTAGGAAGCAGTGCTGAGATGAAGACAGGCATGGGAAAGGGTCCCTGGAGAGCCACTTCCGTGAAGGGAAGCAGGATTGGGCAGATCTGGCAATCCTCTACCAGCCCGACAGGGAACTCCCAAGCAAAGATTGCCTGTTGGAGGAGCCTAGACTGAACTTGGCCAATATGACCAGGCCCTGGGGCCACTGCTGTGCTCAGCTTCTGCCCTCAAGGCCAGGACTGGAGGGAGGTGAATGAGGTGCCTCATGCACAAAATGAAAGAAGAGCCCGTGACCCTGAGGGCCAGTACATCCTTACATTTTGTGTCCCAGGTGCCTCGCTCTCCTCACCCTACTCCCAGCCCTGGGGATAAGGAAGAGACTAAGAACTGGAACCATCAGCTCACCACACTCCTTGCAAGGGGCCGCAAGTCCTTTCTTGAAGGGATGTGTGCACGGCACACCTCTGTGTCTGCTACATTCTTCATTTCAACAAATATTTACTGAGCACCTCCGGGTGCCAAGCTTGAGGGATGTGCAATGAAGAAATCAGACCAGGCTCTGCCCTGGGGAACTTTCAAGTACATCTCCCTGCATGTACCTGGGTGTGTGTCTAGATCTCCTGTGTCGGGGTCAAGGTGGCCACCTGCCAGGGTTGGAGCAGACCTACAGCTCTGGCTGTGCCCACTTCTGTGCGTGCACGCAGGAGGCACACACACACGCAGAATCAAGGGGCTCTGGAAGGGTTGGGATGATTTTAAAGAAGCTGCAGCTCCAGAAGAAAGATGGGACGTGCAAAGAGAAGGAAGGGGCTGCCAGGCAAGTGGCCTGACAGGTGAGCAGAAAACTCCAGGCAAGAGTAAGGGAAATCGGGTGAGGGCGGTGGGTGGGGGAGGCAGCGAGCCCATGTCTGGTCGGGCAGGAATGAGTAAGGAGCAGGTGACAGTGAGGGGGACTCAAGCAATCCTTGGCTGACAGCTGGGCTCATAGCCAGGAAGGAAATTTTTCTACTTCCTTAAGAGCTGGGGAGTGGAGGCAGGAGAAAGGAGCATGAAGGAAACCTGCAGGCCAGGAACCAGGGCTAGGGGAGCCCTTGAGAAGGAGCAGGCAAGCAAGTGGAGGGCAGGGCCACGAGAACCAGCTGAACCCCTGGGCAGGCCGCCTGTCATATCTGTCAGTCATCAGATTGTGAGCCACATGGAAGCAGTGTATTTGAATAATTAGGAGAAGTGGCAGTAACATTATATAGTGTTTACATAATGTCTCCAGGACTCCTCACCCGCAGATTGAGTCCGTTTTCCAGGCCGGAAACCTGGGAGTCATGCTAGGCTCCTTTCTCCTTCACTCCCGCAGTCCTCAGTCCCAAAACCAGTTGACTTTTAGAAGACTCCGTGAGTCCTGCTCTCTCCTGTCCCCATGGCCTCTTCCCTTGCCTGGACCAGCCTCCCCTCCTCCCCCTGGAGTTAACAGTCTCTTGCCCGCCTGTCTCCCATCCCCCTGCCCCCCATAACTATTCCCTTTGCCATGAAATGTAACACCACCCTTTCTTGCCTAAACCCCACTGTCCTCAATGCAAAGCCCCACATTCTGACTTTGGCCTTCAAGATATGACCCCTACTCTGCTTTGCAGCCACCTCTGCTCCCCTTCTGCAACTCTACCCTGCAGCTCTGTTATCAAACTCACTCCCCCTACACAAGCCCCCTCAGGGCTTTCTTGCCCCTTGGCCTCCCCAGTGCTGTTCCCTCCTCCTCCTAGAACATGCTCACTGACTAGTTTCTGCCGTGACCTTCAGGTCTCAGCTTCTGCACTGCTCACCCCCGGAAGCCCTCCCTGGATTCCACACCCCAACTCCAAGGTTAGGTATTTTGGCGCCAGTTCCCTGGCATGGCGTCTGCCAGGGTTACTGGTTAATTATAGTGACTCCAAGAGGATCAATTCCCTGTGTTGCCGCAGGTGCAGCCCAGTACCTGTGTCATCAATACACACTTTTTGAGCATCTACATAATGTCAGCTACCACGATGAAACCCTGGGGAAACGGTAGGGACTTAGCAAATTTCCTGTCTTCACCGAGCTTCACTGAGCTCTTGGTTTTTGCATATCCCACAGTTACTATAGGGAGTGTGGAAATGGGAATTTACAATGGGAAAAGAAAAATGAAAAAACAAAGGAAGGAGGGGAGAAAGGGGGTAAAGACAGAGACAGGGACACAGAGAGAGGGGAAGGGAGGAAGGAAGAAAACGAAGGGAGGAAGAGAGGAAGGGGGGAAGGGAAGGAGGGAAAGATTGATTCCTGTCCATACTCCTGAGTGAGGCAACCCAAGCTCTTCACAATCAGGGCCCTGCCCTGCCCAAGTTTCTTGTCTTACTTCTTTCCACTTCCCCGCACAAACTTTTTTTCCAGAGGAAATGCGGTTCCCCAAAGCGCACGCTTTCTCCCACCTCTGAGCCTTTGACCACGCTGGGCCCCTGCCTGGACAGACTCCGCTGGCCCTGGGGTTCCTGCCCCCTCCAGACTCAACTCTCCCAGGTCTGCTCCCCAGCTCTGAGAGATGCTTCCTCCTCAGGGCTCCCATGACAGGGGCTCGTACCTCACCAGTGGTTCTCACTCCATCGCATGTTATCGTCCAGATACCACATTCTTCTCCCACCAGCCTGAGCTCGGTGAGAGTTGAGACTCGCTCTTCTCAGATCCTAGAGAACCTCGGTCTGGGCCTGGCCCGCAGCAGGCACTTCAGTGTCTGTTGAACTGAATGAAAAGGCTTTTGACTTAAATCCTGCCCTTTACTCACCACCAAGTTAGTCTCCTGGCCCTAGTCAGGCCAAGGTGCCAAGAAGGCCAAGAGGAGGGCTGATTTTCCAGCCCACTCGGCCCTCACAGGGCAGGGCTCACTGCACGGCTCAGACACCTTTGCCATGGTGTGCCCCCATCCCAATTTTCTCGTGGGTCCTTAAACCTAGTGCACTATAGGCCTGTAGGCACAGGGACTTCAGGGTCCTGAGCTCAGAAGGACACAGACCACACCTCAGAAACCCCTCTCCGATGGCTCCGTCCCTCCCCTGACACCTAACACTGTAACAGGTACATTGTTGCTGTGTTAAATCTACATAAACGGAGTCACACATATGCCCCCTTGTGACTCTGGCTTCAACGCTCAACAGTACATTTGTAGGAGATGCCCAGTCATGTGTTCATTTTTTATCCCATTAAAAGGAGATTTCGTAACTTATTTATCCATTCTACCTTCCATGGGTATGTTGGCTATTTCCAGTGTTTGACTCTTATGTATAATGCTGTTACAGACATTTCTGAACAGTCTCATAGCGAGTAGACATGTGCATCTCTGTTGGAAAAAAAACCTAGAAAAGAAATTATTTGGTCATGCGACATGCAGGTGGTCAGCTTTAAAGACACTGCCAAACAGTTTTCTGCAGTGGTTGCACACCATTTATTTTTTAAATACAAGAGAAAGTCTAAGCATACATAAACATCTACATTCTCCTCCCCTTCTTAGAAGGAGGGGAACTGGGTGTTTAGAGGACAGGGCTGGGGGATACTTAGCTGTCACTCAGCAATCCTTATACCTTTGGAATTTTGACCTATGTTAAACTGTAAACTAGTAACCTTTTTTTTTAAATTAAAAAGAAGGGGAAGCTTATGTGCTATTCAGGCACCTTCTGGATGTCTTTGTAACTACCTCTTATTTCTGCCCATCCCCAGGTCCCGGTCTGAGAGTGACACTCCCTCCCCTCAGGACACTCCGCTCTTAACTTTGACCTAAATGCCGACAGTTATCAGGGAACAGAGAGCCCCTGGGCTGAGGAGGGAGGCACCGTCCCCACCTGGAAAGAGCCCCCCCGCAGGGCAGGAGAGCCGGGATTACACGGCCTTGGAGGGAATGGAGGAGACAGAACAGTGGGAGTGAAGGAACAAACCCAGATGGACTCACATTCCAGATTCTTTGGAGATTATCTGCAAAGACTTGTTAGTTAGGAAGGGTTGGAAGGGCAAGGTGACAGAAGGGAAGGGAAGAAGGGGAACACCACCAGGAGTGTGGGGAGGGAGGCAGCGTGGGGAGCTGGACAGTGGGGTGCTACCCCCCTTCTCCTTCCCCTTTAGACACTTCCACCCACCCCCACCTCCCCAACCTCAAGAACGCTGGACATTTCTCATTCAAGGACACCCCCCACCACCTAGTCACTCAGGCCTGGGGGAATAAACAGAGCGGGTCCCACCCCACCCACTCCTGCCCCTTGACCAGGGGGGCACCTGCCCCTCTAACTGCAGCCAAGAGGAAGTGGCTGCCTAGCTGGGCCTGGAGGAGGGAACAAGCACCTTCCAGCTGCGTCTGCTTCTCTCCAGCCTGCATCCTCTAAGACTGCATCCTCTGAGAGGGAGAAGAAGCAGTGAGAGGTGTTGCCGTGACACCTGCAGAGTTAGGACGGCACTCACCCACTCTTTCATTCATCCCAGCAGTGAAGTGCGTGCTGTGGGCCAGGCTCGGCTCGGTGTGTGGAGCCGGTGGCAACAGGCTAATGTGGCTCTGCTGAGCCTATGACTGAGGTGGTTTCCTGGCTTGATATGATTTTAGAGAGAGCAGGAAGATCCCCCTCCCCAGTGAGGCTTCCCCTCTAGCTGGCCTGCAATACCACCATTATAGCCACTTAAATGTAGATCAGCTAATCCTAACCTTGAAGCCCCCATCTAGGAGGAGGCAGTCCTAGAAAAATAATTCAAAATTGCAATTTTTACAAAAATATATGACCCAGGGAACATACTGCAGGGGCTCATTGCAGCCTGGGAAGGACTCGTGTCGGTGAGGTGGATGCTAAAGCTGGAGCTTTGTGAGTTTTGCAGTGAAGCCAGCTCACTGCTTCTTGGAAGTGCAGAGATTAACAGAAGGAACTGATCATAGGGATAAGGTTCCTGGGAAGGTGCTGGATGCTGAGGGCCGGCATTCTGACCAGGCAGGAAGGGCTCCAGGGCGGGTGATGTCCAGAGGAGATGGTGGGAAGGGGTGGTGGCTAAGGCTCCTCCCCAACCTGATAGATGCCCGCCCCCACCACCTCAGTGGGCTCAGAGCTCAGTCTGAGCCTCCCTACTTGCAGCCAATAGGAGCCTCTGGTGCCCCCTTCGCAGCACAGTCAGGGAGGAGGTGCTGGATGCAGCAGGGTGGCGCAGTCTGAGCTTCCACTCACTGTGGGGGTGCCTTGAGAAGAGAAAGCAATGCCCCCTGAGGGAAGGCAGGCGGCTGGTTCCTCACCAGCTGAGTGGACTGTTCCTCTCTGGGTCCCAGTCTTCACTCTGGTTCAATAAAGTGGTTGAGATAAAGCAGCTTGTACCAACCAAAGGTTTATGAAAGACCAGGGTCTCCCAGAGTCCTCCTGGCCGGGGGCTTTTCAAGGAGGTGATGATGTCTACTCCATCTCCGTTTCTTACAATTTTAATAAAGTTTATTTTTCTCACCATGAAGGCCTTTCTGATTATGGCACAAACCCTAGAAGTCATAAACTAGAAGCTTGATAAATTCAACTCCAAAAAAATTATACTTATAAATGCCTGCATGAAACTGTCATAAACAAAATGAAAGGACAAACAACAAACTTGGAAACATACTTGGGGTTAATGTCGTAAACGTACAGCTAATTTCCCTCATATAAAAAGAGCTTCTAAAAATCTATAAGTGAAAAAACCCTACAATCCTCGATACAAAAAAAGTGAGCAAAGGACATCAACAGACAATCCAAGGGGGGGTTGGATTCAAATGACTCTGAAGCGTTTGAAAAGATGCCAACCTCACTTGCAAGAAGAGAATTGCATATTTAAGCTAGCACTAACATACCACTTCCACCTATAAGATTGGCAAGATCAAACATTTGTTAGCACCCTGAGTTGGCAAAGATGTGTAGAAACAGCACTGGGATCTTTCTGTTGAGCGTGTAATTGGAACAAGCCCTCTGGAGAACAGCTTGGCTATAGCTATTGAGACTATAGATGCAGGTTGAATTTGACCTAGCAATTCCACTTTGCTGTTCTAGTTTTTTGCATTTAAAACCACCTAACCATCTTAGCTACTTAAAAATAAATTAAAACAAATTAAAATCTTCCCCCTAGAGCGATGTGTTTACTGAGTGAGCCAGCAGTTTCTGCCACACATCTCTCCAGGGCTCAGCTTCTTCCTCAACTACACGTGAGAGTTGGTGTGTATTTTCTGATCATTAAGCAATTTTAAATAGCTTTTAAATACTGTCATTTATTCTTTTATGTCTGTCCATAATGGCTGGTTGGTTAGGAAGGGGAAATAGAAAAAATACTGACATGAGGCATAGCAACTTAACAGGAAGGCTCACAATTTGCCTCAAATTGCTCAGCACCTTGCAGTCGGGTTTATAATTTGTATTCATCTGATCAAAATTATTTTAAAGCATAACAGGACATATCAGTTCTTCAAAAATAATACGAAAGCAAAAACAGAAAAGAGCTGATTCTTTCCATCTGGCTTTGCATTTACTGGAGATGGAGACTACGTAGGGCAGCCATGTGCTAGGCGTGGAGACGTCCTTAGACAAACTGTCCTGAAACCTCCTCTCCTGCTGAGTAGAGACCAAGCTTGAACGGTATGGCAGGGAACCAGTTGGTTTTTCATGATATGAAATGCAAGAATTCCCCACATTTCATGTCCTGAAATTGTCGATGTTCTAACATATAAAATAGTGTGAACCCACTCTTTTTTTTTAATTTTACCTTTTTTTAATGGAGGTACTGGGGATTGAACCAGGAGCTCGTGCATGCTAAGTATGCACTCTACCTCTGAGCTATATACCCACTAACCCACTTTTAAATACATTCAATCCCTAATTGAAATATGATATCATTTGTCATTTTTAATTTGCCCCAAGTCATGTTTTTCCTTAGATAGGCAGTTACTTTGGAACAACTCAAAAAACACTTGTCATATAAAAAAGGCACTAAGATGCCCTTAAAAAAATTTTTTTGGCAATTCTCAATATTACATATTAGTGTTGAAAGTATCAGAAACTTTTGAATAATTGAGAAATGCGATCAAGCTATGATATTCTTGGTTTCTAAGACTTAACAGGCGGACACGTGGTCCCTCAGCATCTGGGACCACAGCTGCATAAATGCTAACAAAAGAAGCCAGGTGACAGGTAAACATTTTCTTGTAGATAGTACATATCTTCAGCAATTTAAAAATACTCATGATCTTACTTGAACCTTGCAAAATTTCTACTATCTATCTATCCATCCATCCATCCATCCGGTTATTCCCATTTTATAGATGAGGACGCTGAGGCCGGAGGGATTTACATCACTTGCTTCAGATCACAGGGATGTGAAAGCCAGGTCTCGAACTCCCTGATCTGTCGGTTGGAAGTGGCTGTAACAACTACCAGCTTCCTCTCCTCCACCTCCCCATTCCCCTTATATTCTGAGGACAAACCTGGTGCTTTTGTGGTAAGATAGCTCAGAGCAATGGAGCCTGGAGTCTAGAAGGTAGGCCAAGGCTGAAGGGTTGTTGAATAGTGAGGCCCTTAGAGGGGACCTTTGTGGGGGGTGCCAGGGCAGAGGGCACTGAAGTCAGCGTCAGCAATTCTGCTCGCTGGACCGCTGAGAGACGCTCAGCGGTCATCAGTGCCTGACGGGGCCAAGGCCCCTGGAAAACCGCCTGACCAGGCTCTGTAAATGTTTAAGCACTGGGGGTGGTGGTAAGGAGTA